TTTTCCTCTCCACTTCTCTTCCTCTTTGAGTGTTTGGGAGTATTCAAAATCTTTGTCTTCAATGTCAGAGATCCTTTCTTCTGCCTGCTCCATTACTGAGGTATTCTACTGTATTTCTCAGATCTTTGAGGGCTGCAAGTTCTTGCCTCAATGTGTCAAAATCTTTGGTGATTTTGTCTTTGAATTCATTGAATTCTTGAGACAACTTTTGAAATGCTCCTTGAATTTCTAATTCCAACATTATCTCCAATCTGTTAATCTTATTTTTGATCCAAATTCTGAATTTGATTTCTGATATCTCAGCCATTTGTTTATGAATGGGATCTTCTGTTGTGTCTCCTTTTCATTCCTTGGGGGAGTTGATCTACTCTGATTATTCATGTCGCTTGAGTTTTTCCACTGATTCTGCCCCATAATTATTTTTCACCATTGGCTAGAGAAGCTGGTAAGGTGAAATTTAATTGAGGGCTTCTGAAGTTGTAATTAACAAGCCCCTTACCAAGGAACTGGGACTGGTAATTGCAGCTTTTACCCTAGAGCTTTACAAAGGTCCCATTCAGTATTATAGCCTGAAACTCTGGGGACCTGCTTGGTGTGGTGGGGCTAGATGGCTCTGACCTGTATTTGGCTACTCTCTGTCCAAACAGTGAATCAGTGGCTTTGGGCTGAAATCTCAGCTGTGGAGATATATAATCAACTAAGACACCCCACTCACACACACAGGCGACAACTGAAAGAGGAGGATCCTACACTCCCACAACACAACCAGGGTACAACCTTGGTGAGTCCTGGGGTGATCAGCCCAGGTCAAGAGTTTCAAAGCAATTGTCCCAGTCCACACAAACACTGATCAGGTGGGAGAGTTCAAAATGTCTTCAGGATCTAGGCAGAGGGGGTTCCCTGACAGCTCAAGTGTAACTCACTCTGGTGCTCTCTGGAGTCAGAAAGGCCCACCCAGCAAAATAGTCCAGGGGGGAGGGTGTCTCCTTCCCCACTTTGCACTTCTGTCATACCCAGGCACTGGTAGCCCCACAGGACTGTGGCCCAATTCTCTTCAATGAGCAAATGTGCCAGAGATTTGGGCCTGCCAGAGTCAGAGAGAAGTTAATACCTCATCAGCCAAGTGACCACCGTTTGCCAACAGCTGGCTAAGGGAGTTGAAGTCTGATTACCTTGGATGCTCAATGGAAATGGGGAGTGTTCTACCAGAGCTAGTTCCAAACCAGAGGTCAACAAAGCAGCAAATGTTTTTCACCCTCAGAGACCATGCCTCTGCACCAGCCACTCTGCTCCTCTGGTATTTCTGCAATCCTAAATCTATCTCCGTCCAGCAGTCCACAGAATTGAAGAGGTGTCTCTCTGAAATTTGACCCTGGTGGGATAGCTCTATTAATGCTATTGCTAGGTGGGAGGTGTCTCCACTCAGGTTCCCATGCCTCAGCAGTTCCCAAGCCTCCCCCTGTCATATGGAGACCCAAGTCTGCCCACTCCTGAGTTGCTCTTTCTCAGAGCCAAGCCAGATACCTTCCCTCCTGTGCCTTTCTGCACTATTACTGGATTCACAGTTACAGTGTAGCTGCACTACCTCAGACCATGCAATGCTCAAGCTTAACAAAGAACTGTGAATGTTCTGATCTCTGCAGATGTTGGACTTCTAGACCACCAGCCCAGGGGGAATGGTGGACTGGTAGTTCAAAATGGCAGGGTATTTGTTCAACCTTCATGCCAGACAAGCGAATGCCCAGCCTCATAGGAGGGACTCTCTGCAGAAGGAGTCCAAGCTTCTAGCAACTCACTCCCATGGAGTGTGAGAAGAGGACCTCAGTTCACCACTTGCTAGTAGAGATCTCACAGCAAGCAAGCAAGCAATTCTCTTGGGGGAGGGGACGGACACGCATCCTCTTTGAGGTGAGTTCTGTACCTGAAATTTGTTTCCTTGGAGTTGCAGCTTGCCTCAGCAGAGAAGACATGCAATTATCAATCTCTTCTCTCAGCTCGGTTCCCACCCTTCAGCTTTGTTGGGTTCTTTTTGGCTGTTATCTCTCCTTCTGGATGGGAGCTTCTGTTAAAAGCTGGCTTCAGTTGGCTATTATCCCTCACTCCCCTTTGTTCTTATTGAATGTAAAAATTAGAGTTAGGGAAAATAGCCAACCCTAACTGGGTTTGAGCAGAACACAAGGCACATTGAAACAAAATGAACAAATAAACCCACAAAAAAAACAATCAGACACACAAACAATCAAAAACAGAAACAAACACACACGCACACACACACACACACACACACACACACAAACCCTCAAATAGCCTGATGTAAGTACTCTCAGCAACCATAAGAAGAAGGGGAGGGCTCAGCGCCCATAGCCCAGCAGCCAGGGCACCAACCACACACACCAGAGCTGGTGGGCTTGAACCTAGCCCAGGGCCCACCAAACAACAATGACAACCACAACCAAAAAAAATAGCCTGGTACTGTGGCGGGCACCTACAGCCCCAGCCACCTTGTAGGCTGAGGCAAGAGAACTGCTCAACCCAAGAGAGTTAGAGGCTGTTGTGAGCTTCAATGCTACAGCACTCCACCGAGAGTGACAGTGAGACTCTGTCAAAAAAAGGGAGGAAGGGGGAACAGAGGAAAATAATAATAAAAATAATTTTTTTTAATTTAACAATAACTCCTACCAGAAAGAAAAATGGTTTTAAAAAAGCAAAAAGAATGAGCAAAGAGAGAAAAAAGGCAACAAAATTATTTATGTATGTGTATATATATAAACATAAGACTATATATATGCCATAGGGATCAACTTTAGTAGGAATATATTTATGTTGCAATATACTTTCTGGACAACAGGTGGCACTGTGAGTGGTTCCCAGGCTTATACCTGTCTCCTGGCTTAAATGTTCTTGGTGTTAGCCTGTTTACCCACTTGGCGCCTAGACCCTGCCAACCTGCTGATTCCACCAATCTCAAAAAATCTTCACAGGCAGGTTTCCCAAATTCTCCCTGCAACAGTTCCCATGAAGTGAGGGATATCCTGGGCCAATTCTGCTTATAGGATGACTGTCTGCAGCTGAGACTCAAATTACTGTGCCTGGCCCATGCAGAAAGGTGCCTGCAACAACTGCCATCTCCCAAATCCCAAAACAATGGCTTCTTCCTGGCCAGGATCTTTCCCATCTGAGTGTCTCTCCTGCCACTGAACCACAATGGTGCCGCACCAGATAGCACCCCACTCTGGCCACCTAATTCCGATTGGGAGTTTACACTTCATCGATCTTTCCATACACTGCCTAGTTTCCCCACAAACTGGGAACTGTAATCCTCTGTGGTGGGGCTGGTTGCTGCCACTACCACCAGCAGCCACTGCAGCTGTGGGGTGGAAACTTTCCTGGCAGTCTCTGCAGCTCCACATTATATTCCAAGTCCAGCAATCCGCCACCTCGCTGCACATCCCAAACTGCCACTCTGCACCAATATTTCACGCTGGGAATGATCTAGTCCACTCACTCTCACCTGTTGTTCCAGGAGAGCTGAGCTAAATGTCCTTCCTGTCTGCCATCATGCTCTGCCTCCCCTATAACACTTTTAGAAGCAAGCAAGCAAGCATAAGAGAAAGTATTTGGTACCTAAGTCTCCATGATTCGTTCTTAGACATGACACCAAAGGTATGATCCATCTGTAAACAAAAAAATAAATAAATTGATGAGACTTCTAAAAATTAAAGTACTTTTGTTCTGTGCAAGACCCTATAGGAAATATGGAATGATGAGCTATAGACTGGGAGGAAATGCTTATAAACCATATATCTCACAAAGTATTTATATCTAGAATATATATTTTTTAATTCTCAAAACTCATCAGTATAAAAAAACACAAATGATCCAATTTTAAAACCATCAGAAGACATGAAGGGATATTTTACTGAAGAAGATATATAGATGGCAAATGAGCACGTAGAAAGATACTCAGCATCGTTAGCCATCAGATAAATGCAAGCTAAGATCACAAAGAGATATGACTACCTATCTTACAGGGCTGTCCAACCTTTTATTTTCTCTGCTTGACAATGGAAGGATAGGAGTTGTCTTGGGCCACATATTAAATACACAAAGACTAATGAAAGCTGATTAGAGAACAAAAAAGTCCATGCATACTTTTCACGTCTGACACCACAAAGAAGAAAAATAAAAACGTCTTCACAAAATCAACATATGGCCTGGGGGCCACAGGTTGGACATCTCTATTAGAAGAACTAAACTGAAAAGCTGGATTTATAAAGAAGACACTATTGGCATTTGCAGCAACAACAAAAATAAATAAGTATGACCTGATCACATTAAAAAGTTTCTGCACAGCTAAGGACACAATCAACAAAGCAAATAAATAACTTTCAGAATATAAGAAGATAATCACGTTATGAATCTGACAAAGGGCTAATAAACAGAATCTACAAAGAACTCAAGAAAATCAACAACAAAAGAGCAAACAAGCCCATTAATCACTGGGCAAGAGACATGAACAGAATCTTTTCCCAAGAGGATAGACAAGTGGCCAACAAACACATGAAATGAAAAATGCTTATCATCCCTAATCACTGGAGAAATGCAAATCGAAAACACTGTGAGATATCACCTAACCCCAGTGAGAATAGCTCACATCACAAGGTCCCAAAGATGCAGGTGCTGGGATTCAGTCATAAAAAAAGTTGGAGACTTTATATCTTTTGTATTTACCTAAATGGATTTGGAGAACATTCTCCTAAGTAGAGTATCTCAAGAATATAAAAGCAAACATCCCATGTATTCAGTTTTATGTTAAAACTAGTAGATCAGACCTCATTCATTTCCACCGGTCTTTGGTCGCGCAGCTACGGCTCTTGTCATCGCCCTCCCTCCTCCGCTGCCGCCCCCGCAAGGCTTAGCCCTCGCCGAGGCCACTTCCAGCTACTCGTCGCACCCGACTCTTTCTTCTTCGTTCCCCACCAACCGCAATCATTGACGCCATGTCGGGTTATTCGAGCGACCGAGACCGCGGCCGGGATCGAGGGT